CAGTTTGACCTGCAGTTAATAATGTGCACAACTTTATCTGCAGCTGAGGGACGTTTCATCACACAGGATTAGACTGCTCTTATCAACCACTCTTTAAAGGATCAGTTCACACAAATCGCACAAAAGAACACACAGTTTCTGTTTAACCTTTGGTGGTATCGAGCCGCGCAGACAGTTAAAGTTTGTAAAGAGAGTCACCCTCCGAGACTCAGACATAGTTCAGAACAATCAGCAGGACTTTGTTTCTGTGATAATCCTGCTGGCACCAGTTTGCACCAGAAACTCATTTTAAAAAGGTTAAACTCTGTGAAAAGCGTTCACGGTGAGGTCTGTGGATTATTAGGAGTTAGCAGGAAATGTTTCCAGAGAGAAACATTTTTTGTTTCAAATGTCATTTTATTTTTCAGTGCTGTGAGCACCGCAAGCAGCATTTTATTCACCTCTATTGTAGTGTGGCGGAGGCAGATATTTCAACTGGGGTTAACAAAAACCAAAGTCTCTGCAGTACAAGATACCACACAACAAAAGAGGATATGCATATTTTGTGATTTTGGTTAACTAACCCTTTAATATAAGTTTTCCACACTTCATCCAAAAGTATGTGTTTCATGTCTGTGTGTTCACGTTTGACTGATTTATAACTCAGAGAAGACGTTTATTTTCAGCGCAAAGCAAAACAATCAGTCTTTAAGTGTTTGAAAGGATCTTCTGCTGTATTACTGCATGCACCTGTTGCTTTCACCTTCCTACAGCAGCGCCTCACAGTTAGTTTGTTAGAGAAGGTTCGTGTAGGCCTACAGCATGTCTACATGTATCAGATACATAATTTAATGCTTTTTAACATCTTCAGATGAATTTTAACCAAATTTAAAAGTGATTTTTGGACAAATGATCTCTTTCTTATTCAAGTATTGTAGGGAAGTATAATGGTCCCATGCAGAGGGAGGGTTTATGTAGTAATACGGTTATTAGAGTGAGTTAGGTATCCTACATCACTGGTTCCCAACTGGTGGGTCGTGGGTCCATTCTGAATAGACAGCAAATGTCAAGTCTGTAAGAAACACACTTTATTTTAGAGTACAGTTTATTTCTAGCACAGAGCTTTTATTTTGAAGTGCCGCTTCCTGCTGTAGGGTGAGTGACTAATGGACAGCTACTCGACAAAGACAGCAAAGTAGCTCAATGACATGGCCGAAAGCACGTACGATTCTGAACTGTGTGGATCTTCAACTAATGACTAAGGAGAAATCTGGACCCTGTGGCTGAACCAGTTGGGAACCACTGTTCCACATCTTGCTGCAAGGTCAGTGCAAGTATACAGTAAAAGTATTAGGTTCAGTAGTAGGTTGAAACAGTTTTAATAGTGACAAAAATAACTTTAAATAAGGATAAATTCAATTTGATTTTTTTTGTCGCAAGTAAGACCTCACAAATTCAAATTTAAGACTATTTAATGTAGGGCTGACCTTCGACTTACAAATTATGGTGATAATGGTGTTTTGGTGTTTAACTTTTGATCTGCAGCGCAAGCAGACAGATGTGCGACTGAGAGCAGCATGTGTCACTGACACCAGACTCAGAGCGCAGCGGACCAGTGGAAAATGTCACCATCAGCTTAGTCTGAGTGGGCGGAAGTTCACTGCATAGATCAGCCTCTCATTGGGCGGAACGAGCCACCCGCTGAAGTCCCGCCCTACCACCTATACCACCTACCATAGTCTATTGTGACCTGTTGCCTTTTGGGAAGGTGTTTGTTCAGAGTTCGTACAGTCTAGTGTTTGAAATGTACCTTATTGTTATCATGAGAATACTTTACAGAAATGTTCCCTCAGTCCTCAGCAGTCTGTGTCTGTTCTACTGTCTGATCTAAATACACGAAAGCTAACAGATCCTGATGAGAGTCATCTAACTGTGACTCCTGTGTACCCGTACACCTACACAGTCCACATTTAAATCTGGAAACAGTTGCTCTTTGATTTAAAGCAACAGATTAATAGAGGCTGTTATTCTGGGGTTGTGAGGTAAAAACACACACAGACTGAGAAACAGGTTTTTACAAGCAGACTAATTCCTCAGCTGGAAGAGTTTTGGTTTAACAGTCTGCAGGTATTTGTCCAGTTGAAACTTGTCCTCGGAGCAAAACCTCCTGGGTCTCATTTACATTTGCAAACAGCACACAGTATTTCACCTGCTTCACCTCTGTACAATCTGTGCAGCTACAACCTGCTGCAGCCTCACAGGAAACAGAGAACTAATTGGATGAGGATGGTTTGGTGAGTCCGCTGAAGGTTGGACCTAGTGTGCAGCCAGGAGGACTTGTTTTACATTAGTTAACACAATCACGTGAACAGCAGTTTGCTGGTTTGACTGTGATCTGGGGCGAGTGTTTGGTTCTGGGAGATGTTTGTTTCCAGGAGTAAAAGAAGCCCATTACAAGTGACGAGATTTGAGGGTATAAAGGGTCGAGTATTTTGGGACTTGCGGTCAAATGTCACCTGATTACAGTACAGATTATTTTTTACTCTCAGATATTAAGCTGCTGTGTCGAGACATTTATTTAGAGAAATGTTAGGTGTTGTAGTCCTTTAAGTGTTTAGTCCTAAATCTGATGCAAACCTCTATAACTTTATGTTCATATAATTCTGTATATGTCAGTGAAATAAACATTAGAGCTGCAGACAGAAGTAAAAGTGACTGTTCCTCATTTCTCTTCACTCCCTCGCGGTGATAGAAGCATCCATCCATTAACATTACTCTCCTGCTTGCATTCATTAGCATGTGAACATCCTCAGACAGTCGGAGCACTGTGTGTGTGTGTATGTGTGTGTGTGTGTGTGTGTGTGTGTGCGTGAGTGTGTGTGTGTGTGTCATTTGGTGTTGAGACAGTGTTGCAGCGACTGTCTGAAAACACCTTGAATTGTTATGTAAGCAGTCGCTGAGCACAAAAACAAACCAGGCTTTCTATTTTTACTGGTTATCTGTGTAATGTATGCTCGGCTAATTTAAAAACATTTCGTGATGCGAGCGGACATCTCAAAAAGGCACTAATTCTTATTCTGCTACTACTTCTACCCTGATGTGGAAACTGCACCAACAAAGTGTTTTACAGCAGGACATTTGAAACAAACAGCAAAATATAGAGAGAGGGGATAAAAATAGGAAGCCTGCTGAAAACAACAACAGCAAAAGATTCAAAGAGCGAAAAATCAAAAGAGGTTTTAGATGAGAGGTAAAAGATGTTCATGTGGTTGGTAGGTAAATTCTGACACCAAACACAAACTAACTGGTCAGCTCAGTGCTTCTTCAACACGCCTACAAAGAGTTACAAAACATCCACAAAAAGACACAAATGAGATGCATCATGACTACAAAGAGATGCAACACAACATCAAAGATACACAACATAACTACATGCAGTGCGACTACAAAGTTCAAAACACGACTACAGAGAGATGCATCACAACTACAAAGTTACACAACACATCTACAAAGAGACGCAACATCACTGCAAAGATATGCAACACAACCACAAAAAGACAAAACAGAGGTAACATGACTACAAAGAGACACAACATGACTACAAAAAGACGCAACATGACTACAAAGAGACACAACATAACAAAGACACAAAACATTTCTATAGGCAGAAGTTAGCAACACGAGAAGAGGGATGCAACATGACTGCAAGTAGATGTTAAAGAGATGCATCACGACTACAGAGGAAGACTACACAACTACAAAGAGATGCGACACGACCACAAAAAGACATAAGAGACACATCACGACTACAAAGAGATGCAACATGAGCACAAAGATATCCAACCTGACCACAAAGGCACTTAACATGACTACAAAAAGATGCAACATGACCACCAAAGAGATGCAAAATGCCTACATAAAGACACAAAAGAGATGCAAAACAGCCACAAAAAGATGCAAAAGTGACACATTATGACTAAAAAGAGACACAATGTGACCACAAAAAGATGCATATGAGAGACAAAACCCCAGGGACGCAACACAGCCACTAAGAAATACAAATCAACCACAAAAAGACACAAAAGAGACACATCGTAACTAGAAAGAGATGCAACGCAACCACAGCTTTAAAAAAAGACTATAAAGAGATGCAAAAATGACCACATTACTACCCAAAGTTTTCTTCTTTAACAGACCTTTCCTACAATTACGAGACATATATTATTCTCTCCTTCACCCAGCTCACCTGCAGAGCAGCTGCTCCGCACTACACTCATCTGTCATGAACGACAGGTAAACATGAGTCTCAGGTTTTAGTTTTATTTTGTCTCTGTTTATCAGCTGTGATGTAAAACATCGGAAATGAAAATCCTCTCTCCTGATTGGCTGCTGACAGCTCCGTCAGCCAGACAGCAGCGGGGGAGTTTGTCCCAGCGTCTGGTTCAGAAGTCGTTCAGTCAACTTCACTAACATTCAGCAGCAGAGCTGAGAGAACAGAAACCTGTCTCTCTGCTCTCTGTTCACGGTTCAGTCATTTACAGACTCAGTTAAAGCTCACAGCCTGTCATGCTGCTGTCCTGCGTTACTCTGGATACCATGACGCAGCAAAACACATTAAAAAGGAATCGGCCTGAATCACTGATAATTCGGGGGGCAGTCCCACAGTTAACCTCTTGATTTGAAACTTCAGAGGGTTTTTTTTTCTCCATCACTCACATTGAAATGGATTTAAGAAGTGATGTCTTTATGGTATGTTTGGACAGAAGGAATAATTCTAGCAACCAATATTTAATGTACCATTTCAATGTGCAGATGTGCATGTGAGAATTGTTTTAAAATTGACTTAAAAAAAAAATATGAACGTGCCCTTTAAACCAGCCATTCCCTCATTTTATTTTCTTACCTCCTGCAAACAGAAATCTGCTGAGCACCTCATTAACAGTAACACACTGTAAACCAGCTGTGTGTGTGTGTGTGTGTGTGTGTGTGTGTGTGTATAAATATTTATACATATGACGTACCTGCTTCTCACTGAGCGCTGTGATCTTGGCTTGAAGTTCGTGGAGCTGCTTCTTCAGATCTGCGTTCTGAAAACAGGAGCGAGTTAGTCGCCGCCAAACAAAACTCGTGTAAAACTTTGAAAGCAGATTCTTCTTCATGTATCAAACAGTCTGTGGAGATAACAAACACGACCCTTTGATGTAGAACTCACTGCGGCGTGTTTGTGAGACAGTTAATCTGTGAATAAAGTCAATGAGTCGCATAAACATGTGGCGGGTGGGTGGGTTTACCTGAGGGTCCTGCTTCATCTGGGCAACCAGTTTCTGCAGAAGAAGACAGGAGACAGTCAGAAAATATTCAAATCACAGCAACACCTGCTGGTCACAGCAAGGAACTACAACCAGAGGCCTGCACTCAACACAAGAACTGGGTTGCATTTTTGTCATAACAATAATAGTGGCAGCTCATTTCTGTTGTTGTTATGTTTTTTTTATATCTGTTTTATATGTACTCCTTTATATTTTTTTGTTTGATGGGACTACCTCTGTTTTAAGTAATGCCTTTACACCAATAAAATAAATAAATTAAAAAAATATTACATTAAAATAACATCTTCTAATGGACATCAACTTGTGTACATATGGTAATTAATTGAAACTAGCAAATTAATATTTTTGAAGCTAGATAAATACATGACAGAATGTGTTGCAAGAAAATTAAATAAGAGAAATAATGTAGGTGTTACATCAGAACAGAATCTCCAGTATTAAAGCCCTGACGTATTATATAAATATTACTTTCTCAGTCTGCTTCTCAGTATGATCAGTTGGATCTTACAGGAACACTTTTTTTATTTTTTAGAGATTTCTTCTGTTTTGTTGAGTTATTCTCACTGATTGGAAGGCAACGCAAGTTCATTTATATAGAACATTTCAGCAGCAGGAGAATTTAAAGTGCTTCACATAAAATTTTACAAAGAAACTCTATAAAAGGACATTTAAATACAATTAAATAAAGAGCAAGATGACAGAAAATAAAACAAGCTAAAAAACAGTAAGAAAATATAAGAGTTAAAGTAACAGTGCAGTATAATAAATGAATAATTTGATGTACTAAAAGGCAGAGGCAAACAGAAAACTAGTAGTGAATTATATTTTCATATACTGCTCAGATGTTTCAGAGTGCAGCTACATGGTCTACAGGTATATGATGAAGGTTTAAAGGATTTAAAAACAAAGGTGAAAGTTAAGAAACAACTACATCTCACACTGTGTTATCCAGGGTTTGTTCAAAGTTTAAGGTCACTGTGACCTTTGTGTCCAAATGGACATCTGTGCCAAATTTAAAGAAATTCCCTGAGGGCGTTCTTGAGATATCTCATTCACAAGAATGGGACTCACAGACGGATGGACAACCCGAAAACACAATTCCTCTGGCTAAGGCTATCGACGGCACAGAGGCATAACAAAAATCTTACATCAGTTTAGGCTCTCAAAGTTCTGATCGCTAAGTGCCTTTTTGGGGAGCCAGTGTAAGACTGAGAGCCACAAAGAAATGTTTCGAGACATACTCACACTTCACTAAAACTCTGACAGCTGACAGTGACATAGCCTATGTACACCCATATTACTTTCTAGTTTTCCACTTTTAATGCAGTTAAAAGTAATGAAACAGAAAGACAACGGCTTTTTCTGGGGTACAGCAACACCACTTGGACAAACCCCATGCAAAAGTGCAGTACATCGTAACACTAGAAGCAGTAGTGATAATAATAGTGGCAATCTGTAAAGTTTATTGAAGATTATGATTACATTTGCTTATGATTATTTTGGACAGTGGTGTGTGGTTGCCTGTTGTATCATAGCAATTTTTATTTTACATTCTTTATCAATATTTTGGGGGCAACATTTTGAGCATATTTGAAAACTGGGGGGATGTGTCACCCCTATTTATATATTAATTACTGCTCTGGAACAAGAGGTTTGGTTTGGAAGCATTTTATCAAAATCAAATACTCACAGAATCTTACTTTGAACTTTTAAACATCTATAAGTGACTAAAGGTTAAAATAACTCAGAGATATCTGATCAGATTTTGTTTACTGAGAAGCAGAAAGTTCTTATTGTTTCCGTCCTGTTAATGATCCAAGCAGAGGAACATATAAACTAAAGACAAAGTTCATTTGCATTCTTTGTCGGGTTTTAAAATGGAAACATGCACTCAGCCATTAGCAAAACACAGGAGCTGCTGGTATGTTAGTGTGTGACTCTAATATATGAACAGTGAGGGGATTAGATGAATATTGGTCACTAACGCGCAGCTCCTTAAAGAAAGCTTGAGAAGAGTCACTGAGAGGCACATTGGGCAGATGAGGGAGTTATATGTAGTGACATCATCATGCAGACACCTGTCAGGTCATGTCGGATACGTTTTTAGAAGTGCTGGGGAAAATAACATTTTAACGCTGAAACACACGACCAAACTTGTGACGATCACTGCTGAGAAGCTACAGAACAATGTAAAAACTTAAAGAAGTAAATGACACGTTGAATACACATCTTCAGCCTCCTGCTTAACAACATGAAGCTGATCAAAGTTTAACTGACGGAAGATCAGCCGATCATTTTTTACAGAGAGGAGTCACCAGTCTGTTGAATTACAACAGTTCTCAGTGCACTGTTGGTTGCTGTTGCAGTCATCTTCTTCAACAGGAAGGGACTAAATGATGGACAGCTTCAGTCAGAAATACTTACTTCCTGTTGGATTTAATAAAATCTTATCTGAAACATCCCTTCAGCCTGTTGTCTCCAATAATTGTTGTTTTCATTATTCTCTGCATGATAGAGTAGCTTATTAAAATGACATGGACCATCTGAGGTAATTATGATTATTCTGTGACCTCCATATTTTTACATTATTTTACACAGAACTTTAACCGCAACTCTCCCGGTCAATGTGCTTTCCTTTACTTTTTTAATTATTTTCTTTCATAATCATCTTATTTAAATGTTCTTTGTCATGTGTTTTATCATATATATATACTATAATATAGTAGAGTAATACTACTATTATACTGTAATACAAGTGTTGCTGGAGTTTGTGCCTCTTCAACCTGACCCAACTAACTAACACCAAAACACCAACACAGCGTACCTGATGGATCTGGATCTCCACCTTCAGTGCCTCCTGTAACGTCTGTAATTCCATCATGGATCCAGTCAGTCTGCCAGCCGATCGATCAGCCTGCACGCACACACACACACACACACACACACACACACAGACAGACAGACAGACAGAAAAACACACACAGGGACAAAGAGAAACGGTCTAAACATCCAGTTCTATAGAAAACAGCAGCATCAGGGTTGGGGTCACGGCTGTTGTCATAGCAACGGGAGGAAAAGCCATACAAGGACTTCCTGTGCGATGTTGACAACAATACTTTCCCGTCAAGGTCAAACAAGGTCACAGGAAGTCTATTCAAACCATCACTGCATCGTACATCAGTAAAACTTGTGGTCTAAAATTAACACAATATGTGATTCTCCTCAAAATAATTACAGCTCATACAAGAGATTAATTATTGGAATTAATATCAGGGAAGTACGATAATATCAGCACGTCAACGGTATCGGCTGATATCAGCTTTGAAATGATGTAATGGAATCAGCCAACATGCTTTTTCTTTATTTGCTCCATGAATGAATAATACATACATTGAAAAGTATGTTATTTCATGTCTGTTTCATGTCACAATGTTAATTCCAGTCAAGAAGAGACCTGATTATTACTAAAATTAGGAAGAGAAAAAAGTGAATATATTTATATCGGTATCAGTTATCTGTCTAATGAGTTGTTCTATATCGGCATATCGGATACCGGCAAAAAATCCAATCTCATGCACCCCTAATTAACACTTAATAAACTGTTTTTTACCTTAACACCGTCTCCAGTAGGAAAACCATCCAACTGAAGCATTAAAGTGCCGCTGTGACCAAAAAACAAAAGACATTTAAATTCAATTTTTCTTCCTCAATTTAACTGAAACACAGAAACTTTCCATTATCATTAAATATGTCTGCACAAACATTATTAACATAATAAAGCTATAACAGATTGAGTGTCACTGTATTATCAAACTACACTGGCTGAAAATTTACTTTTCCACATTAGTATTAAACTGTATAAGATGACTATGATTTAATTAAACAGTTATCAAACTATCATGTTGTAAGTAACTTTACTCCCTTAATAAAACACACTAATTAAACTTTTTGAATTATTATGTTGGTGTTTAAACAAAGTTTAAATTTCAGAATATTGTATAAAAAATGTTGAAATTATAAAAAACATAACAAAAAAGTGACATTGAACAGGACAAACTACTTTAGCTAAAACGAAAATGTTTGTTTATCTCATAATAATTACTATTAAAGTAATTAGAACAGATTTACCTTATCACTTTATATAAGACCTTTATGTTTTTGCACTGCGTTTAAATGTTATGTGCAAAATCATCACTAAGTCAAATTCCTTGTAAACACAGAGTAACTTGGCAATAAAAAAAAAAGTCTGATTCTGATTTATCATTGATCTTTTACATTACTTTACATTACACAATGTTTATCTTTACTTTATTCTAAATATTAAAGTTTTAAGCTGCTTCATTGTTGTTCAATCACGTCTGTATTACTGACTTATTGCAGCTTAAGTTTAACTTCACTTAATTTTTTAATTAAAACACATGCAACTATGTCAGTAAAACAATATTATTATTGTAAGTTATTACATAGGGATTACGAGTAAGTATATGCCATTACTGTTCAATTACTTCATTAATACTGACTTTAGGTTACATGTATCTGTACTTAGTACATAAAGATAAAATATATATTATATTTAACTATCATTAATACCTGAAGTATGTATTTGTGTCTTTACTAACATGTGAATGTACCTGTAAAATCAAATGGGCTGAAAAAAATGTTAACTTCATTATAGAGTATCTTAAATCTTCTTATTAAACTGGAACAGGACGAAGTACATGTATACGTAGAAAGTACTAAAAAAATAATAAAATGTAACTTTAAACTGAGAATATTTGACTCTGACTTCACTCTAAAAATAGATATGTAACTTTATTATTACATTTCAACAAAACAACCTGTGCCATTATTATTTTTAATTTAAAGCAGGTTTATTATCACTTTATTATTATTAAACTTAAACAGTTTAAATGTAACATTACTACATTATGAAATGAAAACAGGCTGATGTTAATCCACTTATTATTTTTAATAGATCATGTGACAGGACTCACCACCTGGCTGTGGGACTGGACTCCACCCCTCTGTGCTGCCCTGTAAAACACAACAAACACACCTCGTTACAGACTCAGCCTGTGAATTAAAACCAAAAACAAACTGAGTCAACTTCGAACATCGTAACTTTTTCACATTGAGTCTGACTCTGTACTAACATTAATAACACTTTCTCAATTGACACTTAAACTATTTAACTTAAGTTTTCTGTGTATGAAGTTCGATTTTATGATCCCTTATAAACTAAAACAGTACAAATTATCTTACAAAAGTATGTTTCTATGTAAACTATGAGCTCAGACATACGTTTTTTAATTTAGTTTTACATTGTTTTCATGTGTGATTTTATTAAATGGGGTTTCCCCCATTGTGAACAATGTGAATTCTGACATGAATTTATAGAAAAGTCACACATTCATCAGTAGAGAGAACAGCTGGATATGAATAAGGGGTTCATATAATGATTATTTTCATCATTGATTAATCTGCTGAGATTGTTTTGTATGTATAAACAAAGATATTTAGTTTTTCTGTCTTATAAGACAAAGAAAAACATCATATTTTCACATCTGAGAAGCTGAAAGCTGCAACTGTTTTTGTTGGAAAGAGTGATGAATTATCTGTGGAGAGATTAATTAAAATAGAAGCTCTATTTTAAATGTGTTTGTTTTTTTTTTGTTTTTTTTGCATAAATATGATTTCTTCATACCAAGAAGAAAGAGATGTGTTTAAGTTTGAATTTATGTGTCTATATGTTTTTGTCTTTCCAACAAAAACAGTTGCAGCTTTCAGCTTCTCAGATGTGAAAATATGTTTTTCTTTGTCTTATAAGACAGAAAAACTAAATATCTTTGTTTATACATACAAAACAATCTCAGCAGATTAATCAATGATGAAAATAATCATTATATGAACCCCTTATTCATATCCAGCTGTTCTCTCTACTGATGAATGTGTGACTTTTCTATAAATTCATGTCAGAATTCACATTGTTTCTCTCTATAAAGTCACTGTGTTACTTTTCAAATAAAATACTATTTTTTTTCTGTTTAAACTGACTTCACACAGACGCTTTTATAAACCGACAATGTTTCTGTTTAAACAGACAGACTAGTTTTAATTTCTTTAAAGATAAATCCCACCCTGCTGTATTATTGCTGTACTGTCATTACCAATTCTTTTATTGAATTTTTCTGCGTGGGATCAATAAAGTTCATCTAATCCTACGCTTGAATCAACTCAACCAGAGACGGCGTGACTCAGTGATGATTCCTTTTTCTCTGCATCGACTTAGGACAAAGATCACTTCACTCTGAAGACACCTGGTGAGGCGTTTCAGTCTCATGTTTTAGAGGATGCACAAGAAGTGCGGAGGTCACAGCTAAACTCTTACACCAGGGATCTGCGGTTAAAACACACATGTTCAGCCTTTTTGTTTTCAGCAGATTTAGTTTAAGTCATTTTATAAAGACCATCGAAGTTAAAACCTGTCGCACAACTCTTCTCCGAGCCAATAAATGTGACCAATAAATCACACGCTACATACAAAGCATTGCAGTTATTTCTTACTTCATAAACACTGTTAACAAAATATAACAACGCTTTGTTGATGCTAAAATTGCTTTCAGATATCAATCATACTTTCACTCTGTTCTTCAGCACAGACATCTTTAATCTGAACCTATCAGTGGGTAAACAGGTTAAATATCCATTTCTCAATATAAGTAAATGAGTTCTGTTTTCTCTCAGCCTCATTAGTCACACTCATATTTCAAAACAGATATCTAAAATCACTCCTATCACTTTACATTTACTAACAACCTGAATGTTTAAGTTCATCTGTGTTTCAACTTTACACATCCAACTATGAGAACAAATATAATCCAGGAGACTTGACAGCAACGCCTTCAGGTCTGATTCCTCTCTGAAGTTGTGTTTTAAGTTTTTTTAAGCAAAGTATTGACTTATTAATCAGTTTTGGGAGTGTATCTGAGGGCAGAGGTCATTATTGTCATTAGTGGGCAAGATGCAGCAGCTTGTATCATTTACAGATAGGTGATTAGATGAATATTTTGGCTATCAATGACTGGCTGAGTACATCACTGGCTGCTTTTTTGGGGCTAGTGTATCATTTTTATTTTGCTAATTTAACGGTGGTCAGCCGGTTGGAAAATTTAAACTTAGCATTGAGTGTCAATACTCATTTGGCAAAAAAACAAATAACAGCTGTAGATAATAAATCTGACATAGCAGATTTTTCATGAGCTACCTGACCCAAATACTGACAGTCCCGATTCAAAACTACAAACTTTATTGATCTGACATGAAGCGATCTGCGATAGAAAAGACGTCTCACTGTGTTGAAGTGTTTTAGAACTACAGAAACACTCTGTGTTATCACAGAGTAACGCCTCTTTTACCTCATTAACTATCTTTGCAGTTTGCACACAAACACAACAGCAGCCAAGTTTCATTTTGGCCCGTCATGAAAAATTATGTACATTTATTTTTTATGTATGAAAGAGAAGCTTTCATCAGGGGACCAACTATCTTTATTGGAGGGCCAAATCTGCCCCGCAGGCCGCTGTTTTCCCACCACTGTGTATGCTGTTTGCTGTGTATCTGGAGGTGTAGAGTAACTAATTAAGAACATTTACTCAAGTACTTTTTCTTAGTCATACTTAAAAATAGTTGCACTTTGAGTATTTCTATTTTTACTCCACTTCAATATAATTGTTGGACTTTTTACTCTGATATTATTATTGGAAATATCAGTACATATTATTTCAGAGTATCATAAGTACACAACACTTGATCCCTTACTAAAGTTTAAACTACCAAACAGTACATGAAGTACTCAGAATTTACACTACCAAAGTAATGCTTCACAGTGAGTACTTTTACTTTTTTATGCTTTCATGAGTAGATCTTAGTATTTAAACTTGTTATTTACAGTGCAAGCTGTAAAAGTACACAAGTACTTAAAGCTTCGTGTAGTTATATAGTATCAGCAGTCAAAGCATACAAGTATTCTCAGCTTTGTCTATTTAATGTACAAGTAGTAAATGTACACAAATACTATCAGCATCATGTATTTAAACTATCAGTAGTAAAAGTACAGAAGTATTCTCATCCTTATATAGTTAAAAAATCTGCAGTGAAAGTACTCAATCTGCAGTGTCAGTACAGAAGTTTATCAGCTTAATGTAGTTAAAGTATTAGCAGTACAAGTACATAAGTATTCTCATACTTATGTAGTTAAAGCATCAGCTGTTTAAGCACGGACATATTATCAGCTCATGTAGTTAAAGTATTAGCAGTCAAAGTACTCAAGTATTCTAAGCTGTGTGTAGTTAAAGCATCAGCAGTAAGAGTACAAAAGTAGCATAAGCAAATGTACTTATAGTCACAGTGGTAAAAGTATAATTTAAGAGCTCACTGAACAAAAAAGGCTGGAAACAACTGATTATTTGAGAAAGAGAAAGAAAATTGTACATTTTTTTAAGTTTTTATATGTTTATGTAAAATCTGAAAAGTAACAATAAATGTGGAGTAAAAAGTAAATATGATCACTGAGATGTAGTGAAGCAGAAGTATGAGGGAGCAGCAAATTAAAATACTGTAAAAGTACCTAAGGATGATACTTTTTACTGCACTTCATTTATCTGACAGCTTCAGTAACATTACAGATTCAGATTATCTATACAAAATATTATTACATGATAAATAATAATGTATTTTCATAGATAGATAGACTACCCAGCAGTTTATAACGTTATTAAAATGAGCTCCACCTTTACCAGGTAAAACATTTACGTGATAAACACACTGATGCATCACTAATTAGAATACAATAATATCATATTTATATTATGCTGCATGAGTACTTTTACTTTTGGTACCTTATACATTATAAATTGATTCTAATACTTTTGTATGTTTACTTGCTGTAGGTAAGAGTTTGAATACATGACTTTAACTTGTAACACAGTATTTCCTCACTGTGGTATTGTTACTTTTACCTGAGTAAATTGTCTGAGTAAGTCTTCCATCACTGTTTTCAGATTAAGATTTTAAATTTAAAAATCTATAAAAACTCCACAGTTTCTACTCGAGTAACTGTCTCAGTAGGTTAACTTTACAAACAAATACATTCAGATAACTAAATCAGTGGTGGAATGTAGAAAAGAAACAACAGAAGTGAGATTAAATCAGCACTGTTACTGTATAAACCACTCTGAGATGTCACAAGAACAAACAGTGAAAGAGAGAGATAAATAAATACACAAAAGTACTGCACTAAAGTCCTATATTGGTGCAGTGGCATAGAAGTATAAAGTAGCAGAAAAAAACTGAAACACAGCACAAATACCTCAAAACTGTACTTTAGTACAGTACTTTAGAGAATGTACTTAGTTACAATCCATCACTCCTGAAAAGTAACAAGAAATGTAGAGTAAAAAGTATGAATGCCTCAAAATAATTACAGGGCTTACATCTAGTAAAATTACTATCTAAAAAGAAACTAGTAATTCCAGCTGTTAAATACATGTAGTTCAGTAAAGTACAACCTTTGACTGTGAAATGTAGCAAAGTAGAAGTATCAGAAGAAACAAGCATATAATGGAAATACTCAAGTCACATAAGTACATCAAAAATGATACTAAGTTCAGGATTTGGGTAAAAGCACTTTCTGACTAAGAGAAAGAACATACTTCCCAATTAAATGTAGTCGAGTAGAGGAAATAGAAGATACATTCCACCACTGCTGAAAATGGAAAAAGTAAATTTCAAGTACCTCAAAATAATACTTCAGTACAGAACTTGTGTGAAAGTACTTGAAAGTATTTCCCAATTAAATATAGTAGGGTAGAGGTATCAGTACAGAGTAGTATTAAATAGAGATACTCAAATTAAGTACAAGTACCTCAAAATCATACTTAAGTAGTCTACAGAGTAAATGTACATTCCACCACTGCTGAAAAGTACCAATAATTGTGTAGTATAAAGTACAACATGTTCACTGAGGCGTAGTGGAGTAGTGGAAAGAGTCAAGATAAGTAACTCAAAAGTGTACTTCAGTACAGAACTTGTGTAAAAGTATTTGGATTTCCCAATTAAATATAGTAGGGGGCAGTATCAGAAAATAGTATCAAATAAAATATTTGAGTCATGTACAAGAACCTCAAAATTATGCTAAAGCATGGGCTTTGGGTATAAGTACTTTCTAACTAAGCGAAAGAAAGTATTTCTCAATTAAATTAAGAAGAGTAGAGGTATCAGTACAGAGTAGTATTCAATGGAAATACTCGAGTTACATATAAGTACTTCAAAATAATACTTTAGCACAGACTTTGGGTAAAAGTACTTTCTGACTAAATTAAATATAGTAGGGTAGAGGTATTAGAATATACTATTTAAGAGAAATACTATGTACTATAGTTACTATACTATAGTTATGTACAAGACAGTACCTCAAAATGATACTAAAGTAACCCATAGAGTAAATGTATATTCACCACTGCTGAAAAGTACCAATAAATGTGAAGTGGAGTATAAGTATGAAGCAGCAGAAAATGGAAATAGTAAAGTTCAAGTGCCTCAAAATGATACTTCAGTACAGGACTTGTGTAAAAGTACATGAAAATACTTCCCGATGAAAAGTAGTAGAGTAGAGGTGTTAAAAAATAGTATTAATAAGAACTACTAAAGTTATGTACAAGTACCTCAAAATGACACTAAAGCACAGGATTTGGATAAAAGTACTTTCTGAGTAAGAGAAAGAAAAGTATTTCCTAATGAAATAGCAAGGTGATAGAAAACAGTATTAAATAGAAATACTCAAGTTACGTACAAGTACCTCAAAATCAAACTTATGTACCCTACAGAGTAAATGTACCAATAAATGTCAAGTATAAAGTACAACATGTTCAATGAGGTGTAGTGGAGTAGAAGTATGAAGCAGCAGAAAATGGAAAGGAAAAAGTACAAGTACCTCAAAATCATACTTCAGTACAGGACTTGTGTAAAGGACTTAAAAGTATTTCCTGACTAAATATAGTCGGGTAGAGGTATCAGAACGTAGTAAAATACTCCAATTACGTACAAATACCTCACAATGATACCTAAGTACAGGATTTGGGTAAAAGTATTTCCCAATTAAATATAGTAGGGCAGAGGTATCAGTACAGAGTAATATTCAATAGAGATACTCAAGTCACATATAAGTACCTCAAAATGATACCTCAGTACAGGACTTGTATAAAAGTACTTTCTGACTAAGATAAAGAAAGTATTTCCCAATTAAATTTAGTTGAAGAATCAATGAAAAGTAGTACTAAATTAAAATAGTACCTCAAAATGATACTTGAGTAGCCTACAGAGTAAGAGTACATTCCACCACTGCTGAAAATGGAAATAGTAAAGTTCAAGTACCTCAAAATAATACTTCAGTACAGAACTTGTGTGAAAGTACTTGAAAGTATTTCCAAATTAAACATAGAAGGGTAGAGGTATCAGTACAGAGTAGCATTAAATAAAGATACTCAAGTTATGTACAAGTACCTCAAAATAATACTGAAGTACCCTACAGAGTAAATGTACATTCCACCACTGCTGAAAAGGAACAATAAATGTGTGGTTAAAAAGTATAACATGTCAAAGTATGTAGCAGCAGAAAATGGAAAGAGTGAAGTACAAATACTTTAAAATGATATTTCAGTACAAGACTTGTACACTGAGGTGTAGTGGAACAGAAGTATGAAGCAGCAGAAAATGGAAAAAGTGAAGTACAAGTACCTCAAAATGATAATAAAGTACAGGATTTGAGCAAAACTTCTTTCTGACTGAGAGAAAAAGAGTATCGCCCAATTAAATGTAGTAGGGTAGAGGTGTTAGAAAATAGTATCAAATACAAATATTCAAGTTATGTACAAGTACCTCAAAATGATGCTTAAGCACAGGATTGGGGATAAAATACTGACACAAAGAAATAAAGTATTTCCCGATAAAATGTAGTAGAGCACAGGAAAAAAAGCATTAAATATAAACACTCAAGTTATGTACAAGTACCTCAAAATCATGCTTAAGTAGCCTACAGAGTAAAAGTACATTCCACCACTGCTGAAAAGTACCACTAGTATAAAGTACAATATGTTCATCATGTTCATGTATGAAGCAGCAGAAAATGAAAAGGGTAAAGTACAAGTACTTCAAAATGATACTTCAGTACAGGACTTGTGTTTAAGTACTTGAAAGTATTTCCTCAATTGAATATAGTGGGGTAGAGGTATCAGAAAGTAGCATTAAATAAAAATATTCAAGTTATGTACAAGTACCTCAAAATGATGCCTAAGTACAGGCTTTGGATATAAGTACTTTCTGACTAAGAGAAATAAAGTATTTCTCAATTAAATTTAGATGAGGTATCAATAAAAAGTAGTACTAAATGGAAATACTCGAGTTACATGTAAGTACCTCAAAATGATACTTTAGCACAGGCTTTGGGTAAAAGTCCTTTCTGACTAAGAGAAAGCAAGTATTTCCAAATTAATTGTAGTAGGGTAGAGGTATAAGAAAGAAGTACTAAATATGAGTACTTAAGTTATGTACAAGTACCTCAAAATCATACTTAAGCACAGGATTGGGGATAAAGTACTTTCTGACTCAGAGAAAGAAAGTAATTCCCAATAAAATGTAGAAGAGCACAGGTGTTAGAAAATAGTATTAAATATAAATACTCAAGTTATGTACAAGTACCTCAAAATCATACTTCAGTAGCCTACAGAGTAAATGTACATTCCACCACTGCTGAAAAGTAACAGTAAATGTGAAGTAAAAAGTACAACATGTAAAAGTATGAAGCAGCAGAAAATGGAAAGTGAAGTACAAGTACCTCAAAATGACACCTCAGCACATGACTTGTATATAAAAGTACTTTCTGACTAAGAGAAATCCAATAAAACTGCAGTACTGTGTGCACAGTGAGAGATGCAGGTTATATCATGACCTCTATGACTAACTCCATGTGTCACTGATGGTTCGCTCAGTTGATTTGTTGAGTCTTTAAACCAAACTCCAGTTTTAAAACCAGCCTTCTGAAGCCCCTCGGTGTGTTTCTGTACATCAGTGTCCCGGCTGTATGTAAACGCTGCCGGTTAATTGGAGTAATTGCTCCCTGGGTGGGACATGAAGTTGTCTGGATAAACTTCCATCAGCATCACATGCAGAGGGTTGCAGAGGGCCCCGAAAAGGGAAGAAATGAAGCTATAAAATGGAGGGTTTCAAGATGAGAGCCGTTAAGTGCTTCTGCTGCGGGAGTTGAAATACTGAAAAGTGTTTTTTTCTTTTTGTTTCGGCGGCGAAATAAATGTTTTATAACCTTCTTATTAACCCACTATGGCCGTCTGGATGTTCGATCTATGCCTTATAAATTCACCGGGGGCTGCCTTCGGTAAAGCAGCACGGTTAACGGGGTCCTGAGTGTGTTTCAGTGTTGGTAAAAATCATCCAAAGCGACCCTCACAGATCCGACATTGCTCCGTGTTGTAATGTTACAGAGAACAAGTGGATAACGTTAGCTGTAGCGGCTAATGCTAACCATCCTGTTAGCTGCTCGGGCTAACGCTAACCAGCCACGCTGATAACTTACATCAAAGATAAATATTAACGTCTGGTTGGCGGCGATGTGGCAGAAAAACGGAGAGGAAATAAAGATAATTCGCACAGGAACAGTCCCCCAAAAGGGACGCCATCTTTCAAAATTTATGACACCGAGCAGCAGGCGTCGTTGGTGGGTCTAAGTTATATCGGCCCCTTGTCCTCCAGAATATCAACTCCTAGAATAAGAAACACACCAGCTAAATACACAGAAACACAGAGGAGCCCCGCTGAATACAGACACCGGCCAGCTCACACACCTGCCCGCTGACACACACCGACACCCCGATGAAGACAAACGGCAGCACACAGGTGAAGTTTGACAACAGAGAAAATTAAAGTTATGAAATTAAAAAGCCCAATGTGCACTTACTCAGCAGCAGTCCTCCTCTAGATTAATTAAATATATATCTATAAGAAGCCGATCCACGATGGAATAACAGCATATAAACAGTCCGGCTCGCTCCTTCCCGCGGAGCTTTATTTTGTTGCCGTATTTTATATTTAGTTTTAGTAAATTTGTGTAAAAAACAGAGAAACTGAAGCTACAAAACAAGAAGAACTCTTCTTCAATCTCATTCAGCTCAGCCTCAGCACGGCACGGATCCCTGCGCCGCGGAGCTGGAGGAAGGGGGACAAAAACTACTTACACGTCCAACTAATGCTCGTTTATCCGCGACAAAGCGGTCGATGTTTGTACGTGTTGCTGTTAAAGTTCGTTAAATCGAGCCGATCAGCGGCGCGACGTGCCGGGAAAATGTGTTCGGAAAGCGGACTACTTTTTGTGTCGGTGCGGCGAATTTATTTCACTTTGCCTAAGGAACGGCGGTGCTGCGACTCCCATTGCCTAGGGAAAAAACCCGGATGTAAACTCAGTGAAACTCTATGGAGAGAAAGTCGGCACACACACACACACACACACACACACACACACACACTATGTAACTCGGAGCAGTTTGTTGTGTTCCTGTTCTGGTTCTCCTTCATGGATCCACACCCGGGCCGTCCGCCCTCAGCCTGCCGGGGATCAGGCTCCATGTGCAGCTACTCGGTGCTGGAGCTGCCGGAGTGTTGCACTCTGTGGAGGAGGAGGAGAGGGAGGAGGACAGGTGGCACGGCCTTTTCTCCTGATCCACCGTTACTAAAGAGTTGCAGCCCCGGAGTGTCAACTTCACAAATAAATAGCTTCAAATAAATAAACCAGTTGTGGAATATAGAAGTCAAATTTATTATTATATATAGAAAAAAACCCTCGAGATTTATCATCTTAGTTTCAAGGGAGTCCCAAAACTCACAACAAACAGAAGAAAAGAAAGCAAGAGAGAGCCAGAGAAATACTACTTAACCTCCTCCTGAGCTTTAGTGTGGTATGCATTTTTAATTTCTCCAAGCTATTTGGGAAAAATATGATCCTAAAAAGTAGTATTTAAAAAACAAAACAAACAAACAAAAACTAAGCATTGTCTTTGAACAGTTTTTTTTGTTTTGTTTTGTTTTTAAAAAAAGATGTCCTCATATGGTGACAATGGGTTTATTTTTAATAAGCACACATTTGTTATGAAGGTTAAAAAAAAAAAAACTTTTTTATTTCTATATCCGAACATTGTTGTGCAAAAACAAAATTACAAACAATGCAACATTTGTTCTATTCTATGTTTTGTAACTGTGGGTCAGGGGTCACTGTTCAAGACTAAAACTGCTCAAAACTTTTCATTTCAGTGCCTGAACTCTGCTATGCAAAAACCCCAACCAAACAAACAATAGAATAAAATAAAGAGAACTGGATACAGCGTTGGAGGCAGAGCCCCATTCATTTCTATGACAGCTGCTCAGTGGCACATGAAACCAAAAAGGTATAACCGGGCAGGTATAAAATAACCCAGGTCTTCCACTCTGCCTCCACGTTGCTGGGCCCATAGATCCAATTGTGAGGCTCGTCTCGACTTTCCAAATACTGTCAGACCAAATGGGTCAAATTCTGTTGCAAATATAGGCCTGTTGGTTTTAGTGATTTAAGGAAATAATAGCCTGGGCCATTACTTTAAATTCTATGGTATATCAAATTGGCTTAAAAGCCTGGTCCTGTTTCTGGGGCCTTGCCTCCTCCACAGAGTCCACCATGTTTTTCTACAGTAGCCCAGAACAGACAAACCAAACACTCACTATAGGTAGGGCTTTTTGCATTTTTGCATCGACCACTGTTCCAGCACGTTCTCACTCACAGCTCATCAAATACCGCTGCTTTGAGGTGCACATTTCATGGTGGTATGATACACACCACAAACTCATCAAATACTGCCGCTTTGTCAGTGGACTTAGGCGTCAGACACTTGACGGACCAACACGCTTTTTGCGGTGGTATGATATGTAGTATGCGGCAGCTATATCTGTTGCCGCCAGCAACTACCATAGTGTAAAGAGTGAGAAAGTGTGGTAAAAAAGGATGGGAGGGGAGGTGGATGGGTCAAACAAACTCTTGACTTTCACACAGGAGCCTGCTATTTGTCTCTGCTGTTTGTGTGCTAGTGATGTGTAGGACGCCACAGTAGTGATGTGTGTCACGTGACATTACATTAGTGAGAAACAGTAGGGGTGGATGTGGCTTAGAGGTAGAGTGGGTCATCCACCAATCGGAAGATCCTGACTCCTCGAGTCCATAAGATACCGAATGTCAAACTGCCCCCCGATGGCTGTGTGAGAGCATGTGAATGGTCACTGAGTAGCAGGTGGCACCCTGCATGGTAGCCTTGGCCACCAGTGTGTGAATGGGTGAATGTGACGTAGTGTAAAAGCACTTTGAGTGGTCAAGAAGACTAGAAAGGCACCATACAAGTACATTTACCATTTAACATACGTACGTTAAGTCAAACTGTGACATTGTTTCTTTAATCTAATCTAATCTTTCTAATCTATTTTAATTTCTAATCTAACCACATGCATTGTTGCCTCAATTTAAGGAAATAAATGTAAAAGCAAAGTGTTTTACCTACATAGTAAATTTATTTTAAAAAAGACTGTAATGCATATAACGAGCAGAAACTCTCAGTTTTCTGTGAAAACGAAAATGTAGTTTGAAAAGACACAATGCAGGTAACAAATGTCAGTTGAGATGCTGTCTGTGAATGTCGATCACATCATATTTTGATGTTTAGGTCCACTGACAAAGCAGCGGTGTTTAAGAAGTTGGGATCAGAACATGTTGGTAGTTCTCCAGGCGAGAAGTTTCAGTTGGTTGCAATCTGAAACCTCACCACTAGATGTCACTAAATCCTGCATAGTGGACCTTTAAGTGTGGCTTTCAACAAATGCTAGCTTTGTTAGCAATAGTTCAAACTAAATAGCTAAACCATCAAATGACACCTAATATGATACAGAAAGCAAAATGTAAGAAAACAGAGCGGGTCGTAGCACAGCAGCTGACGCTCCTGTTGTTTCTGTGCAACAAAGTTAAAATTCCTTCATTCATTAATTTTCCGTGTTCACTTATCCTGTTGGGGGTTGCTGGGTGGTGGAGCCTATCTCAGCTGACATTGGGCGAGAGGCAGGGTACACCCTGGGCTGACACACAGAGACAGACAACCATTCACATTCACATCTATGGACAATTTAGAGTCACCAATTAACCTGCATGTCTTTGGACTGTGGGAGGAAGCTGTAGCACCTGGAGTAAACCCACACTGACATGGGGAGAGCATGCAAACTCCACCCTGGGTTCGAACCAGGAACCCTCTTGCTGTGAGGTGACAATGCTAACTACTGCACCACCATGCATGCATATTTAAGTAAATAACATCATATAAGTTATTTGGTAAGTTATGTAAATGAGCAGGAACACAGACAGGTACACTACATTCCTTATGTTAGTGAGATTCTGCAGCAGCTATTTCCACCTGTTGTCTGTCTGTCTGTATACACTGTCTGCAGGAGGAACTCTTCTCTATTTCTACACAGACAGACACATAGAGACAGACAGACAGACAGACAGACAGATGGGGGAACAGTCTGTCGTAATGGGCTGGATTCATTCATGCTTTGTGATGAAGGAGGAAACTCTCGTGATGAAGGAGGAAACTCTCAGAAACACGTCGACACATTAGAATCTGGACAATAACTGGAGTGACTGTCAGGAACAGAGTGTACTTTCTTTATCTAAATATTCTTTTCTGCCTTTTACTGATGATCAACAGGCGAGAGATGACAGGAAATGAGAGGAGATAAAGATGGAAGATGACATGCAGCATCTGTTCATGGCTGGGTTCATGGTCTTAACCCCTCGACCACCAAGACGTCTAAACCTTCTCAGTACAGAGCAACTATCTGCGGTTTCTTTGTGAATCCTGACCCACAATTTTATTTCAGTTCTGCCCATTCAGTTCTGGTCATTGGGTCACTTTCAACTTTGGTAACTAATGTTGTTATCTGTGTGGGGAAAAGCAACTAAAATACGTTTATTCACACCACTCAGTTATAACAACTGCACTAACAAAGTGCTTCACACACAGAGACAAACAAAGTTACATGAGGTCAGACAGTTACAAATAAATAACAGACGTGTTTCTAAACAGGAAACTAAGTGATTAAAAACAGATGAGCACCAACACCAGACAAACAGAAAAGTCTTTGCAGTTTTTGTTATGCTTTAGAAATGAACCCAGAAAACATAACGACATCATCAGCTTCAGCTTCAAAGGAATTAATGCATTTTGAAACATGTTTGTTTTAGTTAAGATTAGTTTGGAAAAATTAATTTTCTAATATTCAAAGATTCATTCACTTTCTCTGTGTCTTCCATTGTCAGAGTACCATGTCTCAGGCACAGAATCATAGTTTTAGACAAGTTATACTCAGCAAAATATTTCAGTGGTGATACATTGGTGCGGGAGCCCTTCAGTGTGGAGTTTGCATGTTCTCCCTGTGTCAGCATGGGTTTTCTCCAGGTACTCCAGCTTCCTCCCACAGTCCAAAAACATGCAGGTTAATTGGTGACTCTAAATCGCCTGTAGGTGTGAATGTGAGTGTGAATGTCTGTCTCTATGTGTCAGCCCTGTGATAGTCTGGTGACCTGTCCAGGGCGAACCCTGCCTCTCACCCAGTGTCAGCTGGGATAGGCTCCAGCCCCCCCAAGACCCTCAAGAGGATAAGCGGTTAGAAAATGGATGGATGGATGCATGTGTGCAGATCTGATGACAAGTTTGGGGGGGACACAATCAGTTGTGATTTTTTTTAATTGCACGCGTGCATTTCATAGAGGCTCATCACCATCACCAAGTCATTCAAAAAGTACTACAAAGAGAATCATATGCTTACCCTGACTGTTTATTTCTCTTAAACAGCCAGTAGTACATGGAACCAGCCATCACCCTCCTTTTCACTGCTTCGCTGTTAGTTAATGCTACTTCTAGTTTCAGGGTCTCAGGCATGTTATGTCCACTCATGTTCTCATCTCTCGCCTCTCACGGATTCCCATTTCTCCTCATCATCTTCCCTTTCTCCCAGTATATAGGACTACTGTATACATTTGTTCAATTTCAATCATTTAGGCTATCAAGGTGTACCCCCCCCCCAGTATCTTTTCCTTTGTTTG